TTTAAAGGTTATCTACATATCTGATATCCAGCTTTGAGACGACGTTCTTTTTCTTAATACTGTTTGGAGTTTTGACGTTGAGCCTCAATATGTTTCGTGTAAGTAACATTTCTTATTTATGTATATGTGTGTAAGAACAATTATATAGTAATAAAGTTATTAAGATAGTAATAATCTGTTTTAAATAGTAGTCACGTGTAAATTGTTTTAATTAAAAAACTATATAAAACGTGTTATCTCAAAGTTATAACTATTATGCTAGTGTTTTCAGCTTGCATCATCTAAATGCAACATCGACGACTTGGTATTATATATTGTGATAACAATCATCGCTTTTGCGTATATGTTTTGGGCTAATTTTATTGGACAAGAAATTACAGATCATTATAATGACGTATTTGTAACTGTGTAAGAAAAAGATACATATTATCAATTTTTTATTGTACCAAAAAAAATCGAAATATATAAACAATTTTTGTAATGTACAAGTGACGTACATACTAATAATAATATGCAGTCATACGGATCTGTCACTTTTCGATCTCAACAATTTTGACATATGTTGTCAAGGTCACTTCCTTGAGTAATATTTTAAAAATTGTAGCCGCTCTCGTCGTTTGTTATTAAATTNTAAACCAAAAAAGTTTTATAAATAAACTCTTATTGTTCGACACTATGTACATTTTGTATGTGTTGTAAGCGTGTAGGCAGGGAGAGCTGTGTACCCCCGCAGGAATGGCTTCGTCTCTTCTTCTGCACTCCCCTCGAGAAAAAATGAAAACGGCTTTCAATTAAATGTCGCTTCACAGCGAAAGTGTATACGTAAATTTTTCAGGAAGATTCAAGGAAGGAAACGAAACCATTNTTCCTGCGNNAAAACAAAGATNNNTCTGCCTACANGCTTGCAACACGAACAAAAAAAANCATAAACAATAAACAAAGTAGTCTTGTTAAAAGAACAATCGCCATTAAGCACACGAGAAACGTATAAACAAATTTTTTACAATAATACTAAATAACATTGAATTGCAAAACCCGACGAATAATATTTATAACGTATTACAATAACAACAGACATACATAGTAAAATATTGCAAATATAATAACAAAGAAAATTAATACAAAATGTAGATAATGACAGAAAATAAGAGTATGTATTGACGCAACTTCTTTTGCGTATAACTATTTGATAAACAACGACAGACGGTTAAGACTTTCATATTATAATTTGAAAAAGAGACCTTGACAACATATGTCCAAATTGTTGAGATCGGAGAGTAGTCCGTATAACTGCATATTTATCCTTATTTTGACGTATATTTACCATACTCTAATTCTCAATATAAATAATATTATGTAGATATAAAATTCCGTGGTATTTATTTCCTCTACACCTACAAAAGTTAATATTACTACTGTTACAAAGAGGTAACAAGACGTTTGGTTTGCCTGTCGGTGGAATGTTTCTGGCATCTTTACAATGTTTTGCTACGGTAGGAATTATTCAATGTTACACAAAATGTATTATACATCAAACAAAGAAAAAAAAATAAAATCAACAAAAAAGTATCTTTTGTTTCAGTTGATAAATGCATCGGTATCTTATTTTACCATAATGCATTCTATGCGATAATCAATAATGCATGATAAATAAATTAATAATACATATTGACATACTACTTGACTATATTGTTATCATAGCTAACAAATTTGTCACAATTTATTGATCTAAGTATAATTAAAATTTCTACTACTTTTTCTTACAAAGATTACTTTCTGACGTAATCGTAGTAAATCTACTTAGAAAAGATTACTTTAAAAATTACTTTAACAACACAGAAGTTTAAAAATACATGTAATTATACGTGTGAAACAT